GAAGGGGAATGTAAGGAAGGGGAATGTAAGGACCGGGGAGTAAGGGGAGAAGGAAGGTTTGAGGGGAAAGGGAAGTAGGAGGGGAGTGTTAGAGGGAGAAAGGAAAGTTGGAGGGGGTAGATGGGGGGTATGGAGGATGGAAGGGTTAGGTGGGGGTTGTGAATGATGAGTTGTGTTTCCTTTTTATTTGTTCGAATTATTCCCTTTTTCTTTTTTTCTTTTCTTATACTAAATACCCTGTATATAAGTGATTGCAAATGGAATGTGAAAAATGAATAAAACATATTTAAAGTAAGATTCTGCTACTATAACCCATATCAGTAAAGTCAAACTCTAATATTCCTCGTGTTATTGGTTTCCCGGCCTGGTCGACCTTGAAAGACTGACAGATGGAGAAGCCCCAAAGAGTCCGTGTTTCCAAAGGGACAATTGCACAGGTGGTGGAGTATTAGACTGTGGGGCCTGTTGATTTGGGGGGGGGGACAGGATCTTCCCATGCCCCTGAAGGAAGTCCTGTCATCCGAGGGGAGAAAATGGGTTCCTGAGAGAAGGAATTGGCTGAGGAGGACTCAGCTGTCTATCTCTGAGTTGGGTTCTTCAGAGGTCACATGGCGAGGGCTGGATTAGAAGACCAAACAGAAGAGCTGAGGCCTATGGGAGATCTGGGAGCAGCCTCTTAATTAGAGAGACATTTTGGTCTCTGATGGAAAGGGAAACAATCAGAAGTTGTGTCTTTTGTTGACGTTCATCATGTCTTCAGTCTAACAAGGAGCATGGCTGTTCGTTTCCACCAGATCATCAATCATCACCATCAATTCGGCCACCTGAGCATCTCGTTCTTCCCCTTTGGCCTTGTTGTTGAAAGCCAATATCCGGTTCCCACATTCAGCAATGTATTCTTTCAGGTCTTCACCTAGGCCAGATATAAATTGTTCTAGAGATCGACCTTTCAGGTGATCTTTGCAGGTTAACAAGAGGATTGTGTTATTCTTGGCTTTAGAGCCAAAAATCTCTTTGATGAGCTGAGCTACCTCCAGCTCTTTCCGGGTGAAACAACCAAAAGGCATCACATGCAGAATGACGTGGGGACCCAGGGAGCAAAACTTCACACACTTGCTCACTTCTGCAGCAATCTCCTTCTGTGAACGATGGATATGGAAAAATCCAGGCGTATCAACAACCACAACCTTCCTGCCATTCAACTGTGCTTCCTCCTTTTGGCATACTTCTGTTGTTGGCCAAAATGACATACTAAGCTTAAAGACTTTTCTTCCCAGAATTGTGTTTCCTGTCGCACTTTTCCCATTTCCGCTTCTGCCCACCAGGACGATCCTCCGTTCAGGCCCTGCAACCCAAAGGGGAGAGGAGAGAAGAAGGGGACACGGTCAACAGCATATGGCTATCATAGCCTCTCCCTCCACTCAGGACAGTAACTTCCACCCCACCAACCCCCCAGGGCCCAAGACTTTACCTGGGATGCTTATAGTCTTTTCCGGACAAGTCGCACCGCACAAAACCCGGGATTTCTGCATGAAAAGAGAAAGAGAATCAGCCAAAGGAGAGGCTGCCTTGCAGGGAGGTTGCCCAAAACTCCCTTTCCCCGGAAGGCACAGGGAGGAATTTGGAGGGAGGGATAAAAAAAGGGCTGCCACCCCCTCCTCACTGTCCTCAAGGCTGACCCATCCAATCCTTCCCCGTGTGCCCCCCCCTTTTTATGCAGCCCTTCAATTCTTGGGAGTATCAGGAATGGTGGGGGTTGATGTCCAAAGTTGCTGGCAGCTCCCCACAGCCA